TGCTCCAGCACCTGCAGCCAGTGCCAGCGAGCGAGGCAAAAGCTCCAGCCAGGGCTGCACGTACACGCACACACACTATTAATTATATCAGCTACAAAAATAGCCGCTATTTTAAGATTAATATTAAGCCAAAGAAACCCTTGGCACAGGCGGTGGCTGGCACGTCAGACAAACGTAGCGCTGGCACCGAGAGCAAAGTCCCGCGCTGGTGCTGGCAGTGGTGCTGTCCTGGGGCAGCATCTCTGGGGCCACCAGACATGGGACACGCAGCTCTGCAGCCCATGGGAAGTGTCCAGAGGACCCTCCAGGCTGCCCTGTACCCCCAGAGTGCATCCTCTATGGCCACAGGGACAAATGTGCCCTGGGAGAGGCATGGCGGGAGGTGACGTGCTCAGCACTTTGCCTTGGAGTCACAGAAACAGGCGCCTTGGGAGGGATTTGGGGAAACACTGCCCAGCATTCAAGCACCTGGTGCAATCCAGAGCAGGGCTTAGGGCCACCCTCTCTTGGCCTCGCACCCAGGGGTCATCCTCGCCTCCCATCACGGCACCTGCAGGCACGAGGCCGGGTGACAGGCGGACGAGGGGGCCGGAGCAGCGCGTGGGATGGCTCCGGTGCATGGAGCTCCGCTCCTCCGCGGGCTTTTGAGGCTTGGCAAGGTGACACGGTGCCGTTCTCGCTGGGCCCCCACGTTCCACCTCCACCACGTCAAACACCACGGAAAAGCCTTGGCAGACAGTTAGCATCGTGACTGCATCACCAAGAGAGTGACAGAGCTGCCAGAAAGCGAAATTTATAACCCAAAACACAGACTTGAACTGTAGCTGCCCCCCTGGCTCTCGCCCTTATAAATTAATTGTGGGTAGCGGAGCATTGTGGTGCCAACACGCAGCTTGGCTTCACACAGCACAGCAGAAACGAGACGTACCCGTGTGACAAGTGAACGGCAGCAGGTCCTGCAGGTGCCTCTCCCAGGGGGACAGAGCTGCAGATGTCGGAGCCGCGGCTGAGCACAGAGGAAGGGCTGGATGTCAGCACAGGGCGCAAAAGCTCCACGCTGCCTCCCAAGGGCCCTGTGCCAGCCACGCGCCTGGCGCTACAACCTGTCCGGATGTTCCCTGCTTGGGTAATGAGAGACTTTTTTTTTTTTTTTTTTTTTTTTTTTTTTTTTAAAGGCAGCCTTTGCTCACTGCAGCCTCCAGGGCTCTAATCATGATGCTAATGGGGTAACCTGGACCAGGGGTTGCAGGGCGAGACTCGGCTCCCCTCTGGTTCTCCCGCCTGGCAAAGCGGAGCAGGAGGCAGCGCTGCGAGTGTCCTGGCCTGTCACCCCCACCGCTGGCACCGGGGACGGTCCTACCTCCAAGGAAGGCTCTATCCAAGAGCCAGGCAGCAGCTGCCCGCTTTCCTGCCCCGCTCTGCTCCGAAGGGAGCCCAGTGTCCTTGTCCATTAAATCCTCAGTTGGGAGCCCGCACCGGGAGCAGCTGCGGTGGCTCCCGTGACGCAGGCAGAAGTCCTCTTCTTTCCAAGACGTAGGAGCCACGTTACAGCAGCATCTCTCTGACCTGCAGCTTCTGTCCTGCCTGGGTGGTGGCTGGGCCCGCCCAGGGCCTGAGCTGCAGTTTAACAGTAGCACAAAAATGAAGCCCCGACGCGACGCGCGCAACGTATCCACACGTGACACAAGCAACCACGAAAAGACCAAGGCAGATGCTGAGTGCAGCTCACAGCCAATGTAGGATTGTTCCCTGCAGTGCATTTAGGAGGGATTTGCCTGGTCTAGTGTTCATTATCTGAAACAACACAGAGCTTCCTCCTTTTCTCCAGGGAGATCCTCCTGCAGCCAAACCAATCGTGCTGGCAGAAGGCTTCTCCTTGTTTTCCTCCTCTTCCTCTCACCTCTTCGGCCTTCAGCCACACCAGTTAATTCCCCAGCCGCTTCCACCAGTTCCCTATGTGCAGACATTTTGCAGAATGCAACATCTTCTTGGCTCTTCTTAGGCATCAGTCAAACTGACAGCTTTAATTCTTGTGATCTTCCATCCCAACACAAATCTCTCTTGCCTCAGTCACCACAGCTGGTCTTTGTAGCCCCTCTGATCTGGCTACGGCCTCCCCTCAAGAGATGTGGGTCACGGGCAGCTCTTCTCCCTGAGGAGGCTCTTGCCCAGCTCAGCAGCCACCCCAGGGAGGAGCAGGATAAAGAGATTCAATCCTTCCCCTCCATTTTGATCCATGCAGCACCACTGTGACAGCCCTACCTCAAATGCCGGCTTATTTTTTTTCCTCCCCTGCAATACAAGAGTTGTCTCATACCCTGTGTCTCAGCCATCCCACAGGACAGTAAAGACAAAGCAAGGTCACCCCAAATTACATTAGTGACCATGGAGGGAAGGGGGGAAGGAAACATATGACAAGGATTTGTTACAGCCTGAACACAGGAGAGCGTTTGGCTCTCAACCAAAGACCCTAGCATCAGCTGTGCCTATACAAGCTGCGTTATTGCCTTATCTGCACAAAGCAATTTGGTTTTTATTGACAATTCACTACACAGGGCACTACAACAGGCTCCTGCTCATTAGAGTTTGTCAGTCAGAAGCTAAAAGAAGGTGCAGGCAAGATTTAAAGGGGGGCAGGTCTTGGCAGTCATAAAGACAGCCTTGCTGCAGCAGGAGCTGACAGCACGGGCGAGACTGCGTCACGGAGCAGCAAGAGGGCTCAAATCCAGACACGGGGCAACAAACCCCTCGAGCAGGTGAGATGTTACCTCCTGTGAACATAAACACACACATTTACACCCAAACACCACATCCAAGAATGGTTCATTAGGGCTCTCTGGATTTTTTTATTTGCCATGTAAGACTGGGAGATGATCTCTGCTTGCAACGCATGTTAACTCTTAGGATCATGGTTGCAGGTTGTTTCCCCTTGACCAGCACCCTTGCTAGGGCATGCAGGGAAAGCAGGGCTCTTCTAAAACACACCACATCTGGAGCTCAGGAGACTCCTTCCACAATTCACTCCCAACTTTACACATTTCCCCTTGACCAGCACCCTTGCTAGGCCATGCAGGGAAAGCAGGGCTCTTTTCTTCTAAAACACACCAAATCTGGAGCTCAGGAGACTCATTCCACAATTCACTCCCAACTTTACACGCTCCTATCCCAGCATTTTGTCTTTCATTAATTAAGTGATTTCTGGCCTAGTACAGCTGACTGTTGGGCTGTGAGTGCTTGCAGCAGGGATGAGCTTGGCTGCCAATCACTTCGGTGGGTTTGTTTCTAAGGCAAATTATACAAGAGGCACAAAAAAAAAAAAAACAGGGGACATTCAAGTTTGGAGAAACCAGATATTCAAGAACTACCCCCATAAAACAGATATAGACTATCCCAATGGAATACTGGCCATCATCTTCATCACATGAGGTTCGTTTTATTCTAAAGCAAAATGCTTAGGTTATTACAAAGTCCAAAAATTATGTACTTTTTATAGCTTGGTTTGACGGCAAAAACACCACCCACCCAAAGGCTCGAGGCAATGCAGAACTGGCTGGTGGGTTTTCAGGCTAGAAAAGGCAGCTCATTTTTAGCATTACCCCCCTGTGGTAA